ATATTTTTGTGAGTGTTTTATGAATTTCTTTTTCGTATAACTTTTGTTTGGATACTAAAGACAGCAAATGCTATGCATTTCGCACCAAACTCTCGCTTATGCTGAACGCGTAATGACGGGTCGTATAGACACTGCAAATGCAGTGTATTTTAAACGCCAATCAATGCATGAATGAGAGTCACTGACGTCACCCATAGAGTGGGCTTTAATTCACACCAAGTTTTGCATTTTTTTGGTGACAATGAAGTGAATTAGACATTGCATTGCATTCACTTTATTGAGATATTATGCAAATAAATATCTCACAAACACTTCAATTAAGAATACAATTATATTTATGATGTATTTCAAGAGCTTTTTATAATATTTATAAAACTTCTAAAACTTTTATAATTCCAAAAAAAAGTTTATGAAAAAATTTATAGACTTTTATGTAATTTATTTATTTATAATATAAAATATTGCGAATATTATTTGTAGCATTATATGTATGTTTAACTGGAAAATCACTACAAAATAATAAAAATATCCTAATAATAGATATGAGATAATAGATAATATTATAAGAGATAATGAAATATTTAAAATCCCGGATCAGATTTGGTGGAAAACTTTTGGCACAAATGCGGACGTAATTCATAAGCGGTTTTGCAATGAAAATCACATTTTGTTTACAAATTGGTGTGACTTTTGAAATCAATTTGCAAACTAACACTTAAAACATGTTTTATTTAAATAGTCGTCAAGTTTTACTAATTATTAATCGCAAACTAATTGCACATCACTTTCGCCGCAATATGTCTTCATTTGACAAAATGCCGGCCTTTAAGAGTGACCAAACACTTAAAACATGTTTTATTTAAATAGTCGTCAAGTTTTACTAATTATTAATCGCAAACTAATTGCACATCACTTTCGCCGCAATATGTCTTCATTTGACAAAATGCCGGCCTTTAAGAGTGACCAGAGTTTAGACAAATTGTATCCCAAATCCAACACCACTTCCTCGACAGACACCACTCCCGCAAAGGTATTGATCCCGAGATATAAGATAACTGTTAACCATTTGTTTTTTAATACCATTGATTCAGCCGTCGACGGCCCAGCAGTTCACTGGACACATACCCATCGATAAGCTTGAGATCAGCTACTGCCGAAGTAGTGGACCGGGAGGTCAACACGTGAACACCACAAACACCAAAGTGACGGTTCAGTTGCACTTACAGTCAGCCGATTGGATACCACATGAGACCAAACTGAGACTCCAAGAGCTGGTGAGACGGTCGCCATAATCACTCAATCATTGATTCAAATGTATTGTTACTTCAGCACAAGAATAGTATAAACAAAGAGGGCTTTTGGATGATAAGGTCCGACAAGACTCGGATACAGATGATGAACGTCGCCGACTGTATGGACAAAATTAGGTGTTATATCACTGAAGCCTCCAAACCATTGTATACGCCATCAATCGAGACACTCGAGAAGATCCGTCTGAACCGAGAGAGGGCTGCCATCAGACGTCTCGAACAGAAGCGGATCCGTTCGGTGACTAAATCGAGTCGACGTTCAGTCGATTGATATTTCGTATAATATTTACTGTAATTAACTTTGAATTAAAATTGTGTACAAATGCTTAATATATGGCAATAGTTTCGATACAAATAAACAAAAACAATAATTCGTTAAAAAAGTTTAGATTATATATAAATTCAATAGACTTTAAGGCAATGGTTTGCGTAAAACAAAAATTGATAAGAAATAACTGATTCAATGGTTAACTGTCTATATCTCGATCGCTTAGTCATCATCAGAGTCGGTATCGTCGGGTAATTTCACTCCCATTGTACTGAACAGAGCAGTGGCCGGTCCGGGAACTCCACACTCAGCGCTATACGACTCCAGGATATTAGTCAATGCATTCAAATCAATGTCAACCGCTTTGTATCCATCGTTGGCCTCGTGTCCATCAGTTCTGCGCTCAAAGCTCTGACCGACAGATGTTTCGGCCAACTGTTGATCCATTGCTTTCATATAATCATTCATCTCATTCATCAATCCATTAGTGGATCCATTAGTGGATCCGTTAGTGGTCTCCGACTTTAACAATTCGTTTTGATAGCAGTCGTCATCGCTGTCGATGGAGTCGTCGCCATCGCTGTAGTCACTCATACCAGACTCCGAGGAATCCGTGTCCGAGTGTGGGATCTTCAGCGACAACACTGTACTCAACGCGTCTGTAAACGAGTCTTCATTGAACTGAATCTTCGCGGTCGACGTTCTCGAGGAATGTTTGGGCGCTTCCGCCCCTTTGAGACCCGACTTGTGGTTCGACACAAACGCCTTAAGAGTAGCCGGGATTTGTGTGGACAGGTCTGACAGGTCTGAGCAATCGTTTGACTGTTGATTAGGTTTTGAGCAAAACTTTTCCGATAACATTGCGTCCAATTCATCGCCATTAATGTGAAGCCAGTCATCCGAGTCTTCTTTCGGCAAGTTTTTAGCCTCGCTTTCGAACTCTTTGTCGTCGATTTCCAGTGATCTTAGGATTTGCAGAATTGTCTCCCCTTTCGACACAAAGCCATCCGAGAAATCGTCGCAATTCTCGTCGTTATTGATAATCAGATCCGAGAAATAGTTTTCAGCGCTTTTCATGAGTTCCGCGTACTTTTGGGAACCGTTTAACTCTTTACCAAAGTATCCGTTTTTAGTCAAACTCTTGTGGAATGCAAGCCATCGTCGGTCTGAGGGGAAGTCTATTTGATTGGAGTTTCCATTGAGAGCAGTCTTGCAGTTGGAGATCAATATTTCAAAGCCCGACGCGATCTTCACTCCCAAGTCGTGTGACTTATAGTCCCGGGAGTTGTTTGGCGGCAAATCCCAGCCCACTCTCGCGTCCGGAGAATACTGTTGTGACATCAGCTGAGCGTAAAGACATCGAGTGATGGTTAGGCACCGCATGACTCGACATTCGGGTGGAAAATACTTCATCGCCTGACAGGCCTTCAGATCGTCCGGCGTTCGGCTGTAGAAGGCGTTGACGGCCCACGAGATCAGTGACGGCCTCTGCTTGAGAAGCGCCGCCACTCCGATGGGAACATAACAGTGGACTCTGTGCTGGTGTTCGCGGATACGTTTGGGGAAGCAATCGATTCGCTTGAGAATCGACTTCTGGATCAAGTCGTGAGATCTCGTGGTGTCTGGGTTTTGGCGGATATAAGCGATGGCCTCACGAATGGTCGGAAGTCTTGTCTCAAATTCTTTGCATTTAATGGGAATTATATGAACGGACTGTCGGTATATGAAGACTCTGTTGACACAATTGGATGGATCGCACCATTTGGGCAAATGATTGGCCGCTTCGATGAGTAGGAACTCTCCGTCGCTGTCCTCCACTTTGATCACCAGATTTGGGTCCAAACGAGTCAACCGGTAGAGAAGATATACGATAAGCCACTCGTCGTCGATATTCTCGCCGAAGTTTGTCACGCCTTTCAAGTGATGGATGCCTTCAGAGGAGACAAACGTCACCAATGAATGGGTGCGTGAGATATGAATGGCTCACAAGACTTACCATAAGAGTCGGTGGCGACGGATAACTGGAAGGACTGGTTGTGCCAAATGTGAAGAGATATATATTTGGCTAAATAGGTGTAACTCTTGCGGATGTATGAGTTCAGCGATTCCTTGCATTCACTCAATGGATACAAACGATACAAAACACTGTTTTCAGTGATCCGACCGTTTAGTGCCATTTCTATGCGATTACAATGACTGCAATTAGACTCCAATTAAACTATGGATTCAATGATAACAACAAATATATAACAAAACTATTGAAACCAATCGACGACTCGATTGTCATTCAATTCATTGTGTTTTTAAATCTCTGACACAATGTGTGCAACACTTATGGCAACAGAGACGCGATATTATCGGAGCGTATATTTCGCTGCAAAACTAATAAAACTATTAAAAAAGGATTTAAAACTAGGTTTGATCGCTTAATAAATCAAATTCAAGTTAATACAAATATATTATGCTATAAATTATTGCAATTGATTATAATTAACTCAATAATCAAGCAGAAAACAAAATCCCCGAAAACGTGAGACTCTGTGCATAAACAGCACACTTGACAACAACAGCCAAACCCTACGGACTTGACATCAATGATGTCACTAAACACTAATGACTCAACTCTGGGAGTGCCTGCAGTTCATTGACCTTCGCTTCAAACACAACACCTATTAATCAATATTTGTGTTCATAATTCATTGAACACTCGTATCATAAATCAAATGATAAAATAAAAACACATTTAAAATTCATTAAAAGTTTATTTCCGATAAAAAGGTAAAAACATTAGTCAAAGGAGTCTTAAAATATGAACGAATCGATAAAGACGTCTAAAAACTATATTTAGGAAGACGTTCATAAGGAGGGGTCGGGTAGTGGGCGCTTAGAACTCCTCTCCGGCCTCGTCTTCGCCGGTTTCGGTGGAGTCGAGTCCCACCTCTTCGTAGTCCTTCTCGAGGGCCGCCAAGTCCTCCCTGGCCTCGGAGAACTCGCCCTCTTCCATACCCTCGCCGACATACCAGTGCACGAACGCACGCTTGGCGTACATGAGGTCGAACTTGTGGTCCAGTCGGGCCCACGCCTCCGCTATGGCAGTCGTGTTGGACAGCATACAGACCGCGCGCTGCACTTTAGCCAAATCGCCGCCCGGAACCACAGTTGGGGGCTGGTAGTTGATGCCAACCTAACCGTGCCATACGATACAAGTATTCGTATTAGAGATTACATTCATATGAAATTAATCAGTAAATGAAGGTTAGGATAGGGAAGGGCTGTCCATACCTTGAAACCGGTGGGACACCAGTCGACGAACTGAATGCTGCGCTTAGTCTTAATGGCAGCGATGGCTGCGTTGACATCCTTGGGCACCACATCACCTCTGTATAGCAGACAACAGGCCATATACTTGCCGTGTCGGGGGTCGCACTTAACCATCTGATTGGACGGTTCGAAGCATGAATTGGTGATCTCGGAGACCGTCAGCTGTTCGTGATATGCCTTCTCGGAGGAGATGACCGGCGCGTAAGTGACGAGCGGGAAGTGGATGCGAGGATAGGGAACCAAATTGGTTTGGAATTCAGTCAAATCCACGTTCAGAGCGCCGTCGAAGCGAAGGGAAGCCGTTATACTCGACACGATTTGGCCGATCAGACGATTGAGGTTAGTATAGGAGGGCCTCTCGATGTCGAGATTGCGGCGACAGATATCATATATGGCCTCATTGTCCACCATAAAGGCACAGTCCGAGTGCTCCAGAGTCGTGTGGGTCGTCAGGATTGAGTTGTACGGCTCCACCACTGCAGTCGACACCTGAGGCGCCGGATAGATAGCGAACTCAAGCTTAGACTTCTTGCCGTAATCGACGGACAGGCGTTCCATGAGTAGAGATGTGAACCCGGATCCGGTGCCGCCTCCGAAGCTGTGGAAGATCAGGAAGCCTTGGAGTCCAGTGCACTGGTCGGCCAGTTTGCGCACCCGATCCAACACCAGATCCACAATCTCTTTGCCAATGGTGTAGTGCCCGCGCGCGTAGTTATTGGCCGCGTCCTCCTTGCCGGTGATGAGCTGTTCCGGATGGAAGAGCTGCCGATAGGTACCGGTGCGCACCTCATCCACTACAGTGGGCTCCAGGTCCACGTAGACGGCACGGGGCACGTGCTTACCCGCACCCGTCTCCGAGAAAAACGTGTTAAACGAGTCNGCTGTTCCGGATGGAAGAGCTGCCGATAGGTACCGGTGCGCACCTCATCCACTACAGTGGGCTCCAGGTCCACGTAGACGGCACGGGGCACGTGCTTACCCGCACCCGTCTCCGAGAAAAACGTGTTGAACGAGTCGTCGCCGGCGCCGATATGCTTATCGCTGGGCATCTGGCCGTCCGGTTGGATGCCGTGCTCCAGACAATACAGTTCCCAACAGGCGTTACCAATCTGTACGCCCGCCTGACCCACGTGTATGGAAATGCATTCTCTCATTATGAGTGCCTATTGGGGACGGCATTAGAAGGGGACAGCCGTTAGTATCGATTCAATTGAACGAATTTATATGTATATCAAGTGATGAATGATTTTTGATGTGTTGTCTGAACTTGAAATTCGTGTCTCAAAGGGTCAGATGTGATGTCTTAGGCAGACATCAACGAGCAGTAAATGTGTGGCAAAAAGTCTTATACAATAATAAACCGGTTTATGGTTTGCGTTGAATGTCATTGAAGTCATTGAACGCATCCCTCTTTGGATGCATTTCTTTGAGACCATATTTGGAGTGAAATACATATTAGGCATCAGTTGTGACTAAATGAACAAATGTCCAAATTATGGACAATTCACTCGTTTGCCAATTCAGTCATACGTTTATAATTACATGCAATCAATGAATAAATGATGAATTTTACTAAAAAATGGTTAAAACCCGTAAACCCTTAAGACTTTTCATAACCGGATCCGAGACACGCGTCCAGACATCACATCATTTGGTTGTCATTTAATATGAATAACTGAGACATACCTTGAGATTGCAGTGAATTAACGGTAAATGAGATACAAATCAATAATAGTATTGATTGAAGCGGTGATTGAATTGAAAACTCTTTTGTTTGACTGATTGTAACAAATAGTCTCACAATTGAGTGACGAATGAGTGTTTGTGCACTGAATGCCCGCTTATATACCCACTGCTCAACCAATCATACAGTCGTGCACTCAGTCTCTCTCACTATAACCCAAACCTAACCCACACTTCAAAAGTTTGAATCAAAACTTGAAAACGTAATGAAGTTTTCAACAGTTTTTCAAACTAGTTTTTTCAATCAGTTTTTGTATTTTGTTTTTTATGAATCAATTTCATACCAAAAATGGTTTTTCTCGTTTCTGACTCTCAACTACTATTCAGTTACACTGACTAACGATAATACTTTGTCAACAAATCCTTAATCACATTCAAAGCAATCTTACAGTGAATGTATGAATACAGTAATGCTATTACAATACTAATACAATTGAGAGACACTTTCATTTGCCTTTCACACAATGAGTTCATAGAAAGTTTGACAACTTTTAAATTACAAAGTTTTAATACAATAATTAAATAGTTGCAACCTTATTAGACATAACTTTGACAATTATAATCAAAAAATAGTTGAGACCAACATTTTGCTAAAAGTTAATTGATAAGTTATATTGTACCATGTTAAGTTAGTACTTCTACATTAGACTTATATAAGTTAGAACTTCTATCATATCATATGAGTAACTCTGATGTAATGTAATATTTCTATTAATAATTTCAGCATAATATGTAAAATATCTCAAATCTTGACTCAAATGGTGTCAAATGTGGTGTCACTCCCAGTCCAAAGAAGTCCTCACAGTTTTCAACCCAATTCTAAGGGATTATTCATTATTAAGGGCTGATTGGCAGCCATAGATACTGTGGTTAACAATGAATGGTAACATTTGACAGTCTAGTGGTTGTGCCAAATATGGTTAGACTACTAAAGTATTATCATAAATCATACTTTCAATTATATTGCTATACAAATATTTACTGTATTTTCCCAAATTAAACATAATTTTGCAATTTTATTGCATTCACACGACTAGACTACCAAATAATTAAACAAATTGTAGTCAAAAGGAAAATATTATTTTTGTAATAATGAAATGANTTTGCAATTTTATTGCATTCACACGACTAGACTACCAAATAATTAAACAAATTGTAGTCAAAAGGAAAATATTATTTTTGTAATAATGAAATGAATTATAGTTTTATTATGAATTCAATATAATTTTATATACAAATCAATTATATTTCTCGACCTTTGAATCAAATGAAAAACAAAATCTTTATTGTATTGGAGTTTAAAATTACGAAACGATAGGATTGTCTAAAAAACGGTGTTTTATATATCGAATTATATTTGAGATCAGAATCCGATTAATAATTTAAAAATAACTTCGAAATAAAAATCCACGAAATCTGAGATTAATATTACAATTGCTTTTCATATGCATTAATCATATCATTGCCATCGCATAGGAAGTGGTATTCAAACCAATGATATCGTCTCAAAAAAGACGTTTTCATAGAAAATAACAAAACATTTATGAAATCTTATAAATTGCAAACCATTTATCAATAAATATATATCAGAAATAAAGAGCTAATCATTATCTCTTGGTTTTGGACACTTTGTTTAACCTCTTCTGTTCGGCGATCATGTCGTGCAGTGTCTGCAGGCCTTCATCCAGTCCTTCGCCTATCACTGAACACGAGGACTGGACGTGCCATAAGTGACTACCCGTCAGGTCTTGGAGGCCCAGGAGTCGTGCCATTTCGGCCGAGTCTTTAGCGCCGGGCAGGTCCTGCTTGTTGGCCAACACAAGGATCGGTACCTTCGAGTTCTCGGGCGACTTCGCCGTCCGCATCAGTTCCATCTTCGCCTCCTCCAGACGCTCGTCGTCCACGGAATCGATCACAAAGATTATGCCGTCTGTGCACCGGGTGTACGACCTCCACAGCGGTCGCAGTTTGTCCTGACCTCCGATGTCCCAAATCAGAAACGACGTGCCCTTCAGTCCAAACAAACACACATTCAGTCATTGTATTCATGTATTCACACCACCGTATGGTTAGACCCACTATACTCCCTGTCCCCACACTCTCATCCAATACTCCACTTATGATTTGAGTGACAAATAAAACTTTGACTTAAGACTTATTATCATTAGACAGTCTTATGGTTAACAACACACTCGAGTGTCACCGTTAATGACACTTGAAATGGGTTTTGGGTGTTGGCTATAACTATGAGTGTGATGTCTGTCCCTATTATCTAGGATTGTGTCAAATATATAGCACTAATAGTGGGCACTGGATGTGAATTATGGAGACATCGGGAGTGAAGGCCAGTATGAATGGACGCATACTTTAGTCTTTCCATTGAGTTTGACTTTCTCGCAGTTGAATCCAATGGTGGGAACGGTATTCAAGTACTGGTCAAACTTGAGTCTATAGAGGGCTGTCGTCTTGCCGGCTGAATCCAAGCCC